TATAAATATAAATATAAATATAAATATAAATATAAATATAAATATAAATATAAATATAAATATAAATATAAATATAAATATAAATATAAATATAAGTATAAATATAAATAATTAACAAATCAATAAATCAGAATTAATGCATATAAACAGGAGCACGGAGGTGCCGGGCTCAGCTCTGGGGTTCTGTGCCTCACAAACCCTTCCCTCTGCTCCTGCAAATTCCCGAAATAATCGCTCCTCAATCTTCCTCGCCCCGTGCTCTGGCTGTGCGAAGGTTTTACCCGCAAGCCCTCGCTGCTGGTTGTTTTTCCCTGATCCTCCTCTGCGGGCTCACCCCGTCCCTGCAGGTTGGCAGCAGGGGCTGCGTCCTTGCGGATTCAAAGGCAAATAATTCCATTTCTTTTGCCCTCCCAAATGCTCCTGTCTGTGCAGAAAATGAGCTGAAGGTTTGTGCGTTGTTCAGTCGTGCTTTGAACGCAGAGCGAAGGTGGGATTGGGGATTGCTGCCACCCTCAGAACCCGAATTCCTCCTTTCCGTGCTCCACGCAGGAATTCTCCCGCCTGGGATAATTCCAGCACGTTCTCCGGGGCAGGGCTGGGAGAGGGGACAGTCCCTGCACAGTTGCCTGTCTGGTGACCGCTTCTGGTGGCCACAGCTGGCCGGACTCAGTTCCCATTTTGAGGTTCCCAGTTTTTTTTGCCCTCATTGCCGAGGCCAAGCCCAGCCCCCCCTAATTTGAGCATCCACAGGGTGCTGGATCCCCTGCAGCTGATCCCAGCTCCTTCCAAGGGAGCATCCCAAACTCCAGCTCACCCCGCAGGGATCCCGCATCCAGCGCTGCTCCGGGGCTGGCTTCCCACGGAAAAGGGGAAATATCCCAGTGGGAAAACCCCAGGAGGGGCACGAGTGACTTTTCCGTGCGGGAAGGTCCCGGCTCCAGGGCTGTGTGTGCAATTTAACGAGCGATCGCTGCTCGTTAAACGCAATGATGTGTGCGGGGATTTGTGTCCGAGCCCGCTCCCGCTGCAGCTTCTCTCCCACAAGAGCTGAACCCATGGGGGATCCTCACTCCTGCTTTTCTCTTGTTTTTTCCCCACCCTCCTTAGGGAAAAGCTTCACCCTGACCATCACCGTGTTCACCAACCCCACCCAAGTGGCCACCTACCACCGAGCCATCAAAGTGACCGTGGACGGACCCCGGGAGCCCCGCAGTAAGTGAAGGGTTGGGTTTGGGGTTCGGGTTTGGGGTTTGGGGAGGGGGTGCAGGGTCCGAGCTCTCCGTGGCTGAGGGATGCAGGACGCAGAGCTCGGGGGTGGCACTGGGGTGCCACCGTTGGCTGCTCGGATTTTCCCGTGTGTCCCTCCCTGCCTCCTGCTCCGTGTTCCATCTTGGAGGGATGGGTTATAGCTCCCTAACCCATCTTGGAGGGATGGGTTATAGCTCCCTATATCATCTTGGAGGGATGGGTTATAGCTCCCTATATCATCTTGGAGGGATCATTTCCCAGCTCCAGGTTGGGATGTTGGGAAAACCCTCTGGGCTTTTTGATGGCAAAAGCACCAAGGGCCCAGGCTGGCGCTGCACAGGGGGCTTATGAAAGCAGGGGGATTATGAAACCAGAGATCCATGCTCCACTCAGGGACTGATTGCTGGTGATTAAACTGAAAAAGGTGCAGGTTCCTGGGTGCTGAGGCGGTGTCTGCTCTGGCGGAGAGCTCCTTCGCCGTGGTTTCGCTTTCGGGCTGTCAAAGGCTGGGGCTGGCAGCGCCCGCGGCCGGGGGCCGAGCCTGGAGACACCAGCGAGACTCTGCGACCGCAGGAGCGTCTCTGTTGTGCTGGGGAGGCTCTCCCGGGGGCAGGATGGTGCCTCGTGGTTGAGGGAGGCTCCGGGAGCTGCCCTGCCTGGGCTGCCTTTCGGCGTCTGGCTGCTCGGAGCTGCCCCGGGCCTTCCCGGCCTCCCAGGGCCACGCTGCCGAGCAGGAGATTCCCTGGCCACGAGGATTCTTCACCCTGTGGGACCCTCCCTGTGTGGTGGGACCTGGTCCCTGGGGGCTCCATCTCTGGCTCTGCGCTCTGGCTTCGGCTCCGTGCTCGCCCAGCGGCACCCCGGGGCCATAAAGCCGAGCTTGTTCCCTTTGCGTGTGAGGCTGCAGTGCCCACATCGAGGGGAAGCGGTTTGATCCTCCAAAAAACGCCTCCAAAAACATTTGCTGTTGATGCTGTCCCCGGGCCATCGGTGGCCCTTGATGTCAGGCCAGGTGGAGGCCGTTCCCTCGGCCCGGGGCTTCCATTGGCGTCGGGCTTTGGTGGATTTTCCCCCCTCCTTGATTTTATTTTGGAGCCTGTCGAGGATGGATTTAGAAGCTGGGATGCAGGAAATCCAACGCTGCTGTTGTGGGATTTTTTTTTTTTTTAAAGCCAGAAACGCCAGGCGGGTCCCTGGTGTGGGGCACCTGTGGGTCGTGGTGGGCGCTGGGGCTCAGCCCCAGGGCTGGGCAGGGAATTTCACAACTCTGCCAGGAGTGTCAGGAATAGAAACCAGCCCTCCTGACTGCTGGCTCAGCCCCTTATCAGATCGCCTTTCTAATAATAATAATCATCATCCTCATCATCCTCATCATCAGGAATACATAAATAATAATACAAGGCGAGATAGTTGCTACTCTCGGAGCTCGGTTTGGCCTCCCCGACAGCCAAACCCTGGTGAATCACACCTGTGCCTCCTGAATTTCAGCATTTCACCCCAGAGCTCCCCAGCCCTCATTTCAGTTTTCTGATATGGAGCCGTGGCAGTGGGGCCAAGGCCGAGGATGGAGCAGCCTGTCCTCCCTGGGGCACAGCCCAGCTGCAAGAGCAGCGTTTTTCTGGGGTTTTCCTTTTTATTTTGTGGCGAATTCTGGTCCTCTAATTGTGCTTGGAAGTGTTGGCTCCTTGAGGAGATCTGTGTGGGGTTTATTTGCTGCTTGTGCCCTTGCCTTGTGTGGCCCCCAGAGTTGATCTCTCCCCCATTCCTGCATCCCCAACCCATGAATTACTGATAGAAAAGGTTTAGACCCAAATTGTGGCTGTTTTGGAGTTCTTTTCAGAGAATCATAAATTTATTGGTCATGTTTTGGCTCCCAGTTTGAAGGGCTTGAAGTCATGGTTGTCGAATTTCCAGTGGGGGGAAAAAAAAATAAATTAAAAATAATTCCTTTTTTGCCACGCTTTCAAATGAAGGCAAAAAATTCAAACGAAACAACACCTTTCTCCCCTTCCTGCTCTGCAGAAACGCTGGGTGTGGAAACAGCAGCTGTAAAACGATCCTGGAAAGCCGAGGTGCTTTTCCTGGTTCACCTGCCACTGGGTGGCTCCCGGGCACAGCACCCTGGCACATTGGCACCCAGGGTGGCATCTGGGGCTGGCACACCCCTTGTGATCCCCCCTTGGGCCAAACACCGAGCCTGGGGCTGCTCTGCCTTGTTTGGCTGCGGGAGGTGAGAGCTGCCAGCAGGAATTGCAATTTTTATTTATATCTAGACATACTATATACACCTTTAAGCATATATATGTAAATGCCTGTGTGTATATATGTGTGGGCATAAAAATATATGGAATTTTTCGCCCTTCTTGGCTTCAAAAGATGGGCCATGGGGTGTGCTGGCTTCTGGTGTGGGGATCAGCACCGGGCAGGGCTGGAGGCTGGTGTGGGGCTGGTGGAGAGGACAAAACCCATCCTTAATGTGGAAAGAATTGGTCATTTGTCTTGGTACCCTGGGAAAGGCCCGGGCAGCATCTTCTCACTGCAGCAGAATCCCTCCAGCCAACCTCCTTGTGGGGTTTGGGGCCCGGGCTCCAGCTCTGGGCATCCCATTCATCTTCCACCTCTGGCCATGGCTTCATCTGAGCCCTTGAGCGAGGCTTTCAACCCAGGCTGTGCCCAGAGCCAGCTCCTGAGCAGCCTGGGTGGGGATGGGTGGGAAACGCAGGCTGAGGGGCAGGAGGAGGCTCCCAGGGGATCCCCCAGGGTGGCACCAGCGCTGCCTTTGCTTCAGCATCTCCTCCTCGGGCTCCTCCCAGTGCCCCCGCTCGCTCTGAGCTCTTTTTCCTTGTGCTCCAGCCCTTCCTGGGTTAGATCTGGCCGGGGGAAAAAAAAGGACATTCTGTCAAGTTGGCACCTTAGCTCTAAACAAATAGCACAGCGGGTGCCAAGTGTTGACATACTTTGTACAAACAGGAAGTAATAAAATATTTGAACTTCCTGTGGAATTTCCTTCTTTCCCCCCCCCTTTCTGCAGCCCTGTGTTCAGCAGGAGCCCTGCTGCAGAACCCTCTGGCATCCACACTGCTGCAAAATAATCCCCAGCAGGCAGAACGTGGGGAGCTGGAGGGCTGGGAGCTGCACTGGGGGGTTCCTGGGGAAAAGGGAGCATCCCCAGGGCCTCCCCTCGCTCCCACCTGCTGCCTGCCTTCCCCTCCCCTCCTTTTCCTTCCTTTCCTTCCCAAGGCTCTCACCTTCCCTGCTCTCACTTTCCTTTCTCCCTCTTGCAGCTCCTGCCCCTTTCTGCCCAGAACTCTCGTGCAAAGCCTTTTTTCCCTTTTTAAATTAATTTTCTCCCCTCTTAGACTTTATTTTTTTTTTGCTACCATTCAGTCTTTAATCTCTCTCTCCACTTCCTAAATCCCTCTTGGATTGAATCCCTTCTGTCTGACTCCCACCCCATTGCTGCTGTCCTTGCTGGGGAGGAAAGGGAGACCAGGAGGATTTGTGGGTCTCTGCGTCCCGCCGCTCCGTGCTGGTGGATGGTTTTTATTTTTGGGGTGCGCATCAGAGATTGGGGTGCTTTGGGTCACGTCCCTGCTTGGTGTGACCACAGCGAGTGACAGAAACGTGTCCCCAGCGTGGCTGGGATGGGGACAAGGGGGCTTTGTGGCCACAGCACTTCACATCCCTGTCACAGTGAGCTCCTGAGCACACTGTGCCCCTTCCCCGGGACCCCGGGACTCTGATCTGATAACCCTGGACCCTCCTTCCTGCCCCGACCCTGCCCAAAGTCCATACAGACCCCTGACATTTCCTGGTCGCTCTCTTTGCCCCTTGGACACCACAGAATAAAGAGAGCTGAACCAACGTATTTCGGGGTAAGAGCCTCTTTTGGGAATCTTTACATCTCCTGAAATTCCTCCCCTCACAGCCTCAGATCTCTGGGCCAGCTGATATTCAGGGCTGTGTGAGGTGGGGAATGTCAGAAGAGGACACTCAGGTGAGACATTCTCACTCTACAATTGCCTGAAAGAAGCTTGTGGCCAGCTGGGGATTGGCCTCGTGTCCCAGTGAGCTCCTGGGCACTCTGTGCCCCTTCCCCAGGACCCCGGGACTCTGATCTGATACCCCTGGACCCTCCTTCCTGCCCCGGGGAGAGCCAGGGAAGCCCACCCTGCCCAGAGTCTCTACAGACCCCTGACATTTCCTGTTCTGCTCTTTTACCCCGCTCTCCACAAGGACACCACAGAATAACGAGAGCTGAACCAATGTATTTGGGGTAAGAGCCTCTTTTGGGAATCTTTGCATCTCCTGATATTCCTCTCCTCACAGCCTCGGATCTCTGGGCCAGCTGATATTCAGGGGCTGTGAGGGGGGAATGTCGCATCCCCTCTCCCACCCTGTCCCCGCAGGTTTTTCTGGCCGGGCCCATCCCGCACAGCCCCGGCTTCCCTCCGTGCTGGCTCTCCCCTGCCCAAAAAAGGCTCCTCGCCCCCGCGGGGCTGCGGCTGGCCCCGGCACGTAGGCAGCGGGGAAGGTTCGCACCTCCCCCGGGCGAGGCGCTTCCAGGAACCGCGGCCGCTCCGGCGGGGCCCCGCGGGCCGGGGCTGCGTCCCGCGGGCTCGGGGCGCAGGAACGGGGTTTGGGGTGTAGGAACGGGGTTTGGGGTGTAGGAACGGGGTTTGGGATGTAGGAACGGGGTTTGGGGTGCAGGAACGGGGTTTGGGATGTAGGAA